CGATGCGAAAAAATTAATATGCTTTTTGCGAGGTGATAAAATTGCATAGATCGCTGAAAAAATTAATTCATTTAAATGTTAAGCATACTTGGAAAATAACAATCAAAACAATACAGTGCGAGGATATTAGCTATCTAAATCTTGTGATATGTCACAGAACAGACATTTCCACTGTGACAACAGGAACTAGATAATATGATGTATAATTCTGTCAGTCCTCGCAACGCATGACCAAATGTCGCATTTAGACGTCGAGGATAAGCGATAAAGCAGTATAGACGATGCATAGTGCATAGTTTGAGAATTACTCTCGCGCAAATCCGGGCGTCGGGTACATCCCCAGAGGCCATCGATACGTAAAAGCTTGTAAAAGTTTCACCCGCGAGGAATAAGTAGCAATGTTGTTACTCTAAACTGAAAGTGCGTTTAGATCTGACGTTTATAGTACGACATTTCTCTCCGACACTCGATGTTGCCGATATAAACGGTTAATATGTCCGTTTACAACCGACTTTACCGCCGATAAAGCCTCGTTGCAAAGGTACCGAGCGTTATTATATTTCCGCTCAAATGGTAGAAAGGAAACGGAAAGGCAAGGAATGAAAAATACGGTGAGTAGAGAAAATGAGCGAGACGATAAATTTCTCGGAGCCGCCAGATCGATGGGGCACCGTGGGATCCAGAAGGAGGACTGGGATTCACAGGATTCATCCCCGCGTCCTACGAAACTGCGTCGAACTATTTACAGATTTATCGCCAGCCCCACTGTTATTGTATTTCCGTGAAATGAAATCGGATGGAAAATACCGCGAAGAAGTGAGAGGAGAAAAAAAATACACCGGGAAGAAGAAGCCAAGCTTCGCAGGGACATTGGGCCAAGAGAGACTACTTTTGCAACGTGATGTTATTTACTTCATTTTAGTAGTTTGAAGAAACGACACCTTATTCACACACGCCGATGGAAAAGTGTTCGTTCTTTCTTGATTCCTGTTCCTTGAATCTTATTGGATATCTGGAATGATGCACGAGTTCACGACGATCTCATTGATTCGATGCATGAGATACCACTTGAAAATTTTATTACATCCTCGGGCTTTGATCTAATATATCTTTCTCGCTTCTCAAAATTTTCTTATCAAAATTTTCGCGATATGTGTTTTAGGATGATTTGTTGACGAAACCTATTTAAAGAATTAATATTGCTAATATATTATTATCAATGTCTTATATAATGAAGGGACATTTAAAAAAACGATTTTGACAAGTTGATAAATAAATCTTATCTAACTTTATTTTATATTATTTTCTTGATTTTGTTTGCTTGCCAAATTTCAATATTGATAATTTGTATATCAATGTTTTTTTTTTATTCCGATTGCCTTTGAAGAGGAGAAGATAGAAAAGTTTTATTGCTAAGATGTATCCAGTGCGTTTCGAGAAAACAGCAATAGTTTTAAATCTCTTCAAGTGTCTGAAAACTATTAGATTAGATGATCCTGAGGGATTTCAATCCGAGGCAAATGTCTTGTTTGCACAACCTTCGCAAAAGAGTTTTACGATCGGCTTCAAGTTTTCCAAGTTCAGACATCTACTTGGGGGAGTTTTATCCAAAGAAATTTTGATGCCCGTTTTACATGTCAGCGTACCACAATATCTACTCAAAGCACGACATGCGCATGTGTGCGTCTACAATTATTTTGCAGACGGTACAGCCGCATAAATTCTAAATAAACGAAAATAATAACGCGTGAGTAAATTAGTTTACGGTTATAGGCTCGACAATTTGCCGTTATTAAATCCGACGCATCGTAAACCTGTTATAAAATTTGCAACACGCGAAATAGGTTCCGCGTGATTGTCAGCTCCGATGATTTTAATTTGGCGCGCGCGCGTAGGACGTGCTACCGCCAATTCTCAACAACTTCCAACTGCGTTTCACGAAATTATCGTGTTGTACACGACAAATTCGCGATGCAGCCACGCGCAAAGCTGACGCACGGAGCGACGTAATTATTTCGCTAAGTTCCCCTAAACGAGCCGGAACGGCATGGCACATCGCGACGCGCTCCACAAACTTGCCTGTCGCGACATTACCATACTTATTTGCCCGTCATTATGTCATTCGCATGTCGAATCGCGTTACGTCACGAGATATAGTAGATATGTGCTGATTTCGAAACTTTGCGAAATATCGATGTATCGGCGGTGAAATGACTCCTCGACTTTCGCCAAAGACACGCATACACAGGTAGACGTATTTATACTCTCGAAGATGCGGGATTATCGTCATCGTTATCCTTATCACGTGCTGGCGCGGAGTTACCGCGATTGCTGGCATGGAATTTAAAAAGCAACTCGCGCACGCCGCGTAAATTTCTTTCCGAGATTAATCCTCCTATCACTTCTTTCCCGCGATCTCTGCACGTAAAACGAGAGATTAAAATCTTACTGTCTTCCTGCGCACGTATGTGCCTTCTTACTTGTGAAATGGTGACCAAAGTTGCCCCTAGGGAAGTTTCGTAAAGCATTTACAGGCCTCAAGATTGATAAATGACGTCTCTCACGAACATTCTCAAGTAATTGATTAATTGAAGACGATTCATTGTCGAAATATTCTAACGCGATAAAGAATAAATGAATATTCAGTTTCTTAAATTTCAAATTAATCATCAAGGAATCGAGATTGCAGCGGACAAATTCAATGTCAAGTCACTCACAATCAGTTGCATCGTGTGATTCCACGTGTTTGCAAAACTCACGTGATCGACCTTATCATTCGTCGTCGCGTGACTCGCTCGTCTTCGTTCGTAGAATCACATGAATGAATCAGCTGTGCGTATTCGCTACCACATGTGTAGTAGCCGCGACCTATCTACTTCCCTATTCCCCGTGCGCTCAATTTTTAATTTTACGAGCAGCCATAACTCCGCGGAAAATCGATGTAACGGCGCGCGACAAAGACGGATTTCCAATGTTCATCTCATCTCGTCTCTCTGTTGTTCCTTTATATCAAATGAATCTCGATATGCGCGGTACGTTATTTTGCATCGATCAGAAATTGGTTTATAAATAAATAAATAAAACCGATTTATACATATTCTGCACTTTATAAAAGACTAAATATTTTTGCAGCAATATTCATTTGAATAATAATAATATAAATACATAATATAAATCTACAAATTGCAGATTCTAATATGTAACACTTCGCAATGCTTATATTTAAATGCAATGCCTTTTATATTTAAAGAGAGAGAAGTGGGGTTTTTGTTAATTTAAATCCAGACTGACATATTAGAGGGAGAGCTGCTCCTCTATGCGGTAGATGTAGCCGTCGTTGTTGGAAGAAGGCTTCCTCCTTTGAGGATTTCCACGTTGATTTTTGCGAAAAGTGAAAAATATGAAGCACGCCCGCGCTGTCCATCGGGGATCGTAAATACTTGACCAGTCAAAAGTCATGCTCAAGGTAGGAATAAATAAAATTAAAGGCAGGAAGGTAGGAAAGATAAGAACTAAGAGATTTGTCACATTACAGCAGGTAGACACGTACTAGTTTCGTATTCGCGACATAAGTTTATCGTAGCAAGCATTTGCGGTTTGTATTCAGTAGATCAAGGGGATTATTCAGTTTGTATGCAGCGATTAAGTGGATTGTCTTCCTAGTTGTTGTAATAAGAAGCGTCAGACGCATTCGCGATGCGTTCGCATGCGAATTCAGACTTCAAAGTTTCGAGTTTGATAAATTTCGTATTCAGGCATTAAGTTCTAAAACAGGCTAGCAAAGGCTACCATTTCTCGACGAAACTCTGTATTTGATTAGCGAAACAGAAGGCTTGTTAACTTTAATTAATCTTGAAAATAGTTTTCGACATCTTGCCGCTACTCTTTTATCGAGGCAATTACGCGCATGAGACGAATTAAGAAGGCAATTTCCTTTAATCGATTTAATATTGAATTAATAATACAAAATTATACGCATTTTCTCTACTGGAATGTATAAAAATACAATCTTATAATATCGTGAATGCTTGAAATTATATTCAACCGTTACAACACGTAACGAAGGACAAAAGAATTTGTCTTTAAAGAATTTAAAATAACAGCATATTCGGAATAAAACGTATGAAATGGAAAGCAAATATTTATATTTGTGAATGTTTCCATGTCGCGTATTGTTTCAAGCCGGCGTTGTACGTTCAGCCAGAGTGTAGGATTTTAAAATGCGTGTACATTTACCTTCACATAGTTTATTTACGAAATGACATTTTTTTTCTTCGTGCGCGTAAAACAGCAGAGTATTCGCTTCCATTTGTAACACACTTGCCCGCGTTTGTAATTTTAAAATTATAATATTTTTTACATACGAAAATTATTAATAATGGTTTCATTTTTTTAATACAAAAATTCACAGACAATATGTATAGATGTATGGATTATATAAAATATAAGAAAGTAATAAAATAACTTGACAAAGAGAGGATTTAATTAATTTTCAATTTTTATTTTATTTAAATTAATTTTTAATAAATTCCCGATTTATTATTTAATGATGAATATTAAAAAGTCCCAACAAAAGAGATAACGTGAAAAATGTCGTTTGAGTTCAAATTAATCAAAAAGCCTGCGGATGAAAAGAAGCATGAGTAGCTGAAACATTCTATAATATTGAGTTGTGCAGTTTTATCTGCTAAAGAGCGTAAAAAGATGCGCTTTAGGTTACATTTACGTTCCATGACTGTCGGAAGATTCTATTACTTGCGTTTAATTGATGCGTATTAGAAGGATCTCGTCGCGGCTCTCTATTGAAGGACTAACGTAATCTTTCCACGTCGCGTGTACTTCGTTAGAGATGCAGGCAGCGTGCTGAGCGTCTGGCGATGAATCCGCAGAAAAGCATCGGGCGTCGACGACGACGCTTGGATGGCATGAAAGTGTTCCCGGTCGTCTTTATAAATTACTTTATTCCCGCTCTACCAGGCGTAACCGACAGGTATAATGCTTTGATATATTGTCGTTGCCAACCATCCCGCGCGAGCCCTGGGAAACTGCAAGAGAGGATTGGAGCGAGACGAAGGGCGGTTAGTGTCCGTCTGTATGCGTGGGTTCAGAGATGCTGCCGAAGGAAGGAAGAGGCGAAAGCAAGAACGGAGATAAACAGAGGAACAAAGAAGCCGAGACGTAGAGAGGAAGATAGAGGAATGGGATTGGAACAAGAACGAAGAAAGGGGGTGAAGGGTTAGTTTCAAGAGGTGAGAAGACGAGAGCGGCTTCCTAATCAGCTTACTTCCGTAGCTCACACCCTTTGTACCCCACGCTGGCTCCCCGGATTAAAGCATTGCCGTTACTGGTTATTATATCACGAGATACGAACGAGCGGTGCACGTCTGCGGGACAAAGTACACAACAATAACATGTGGTTCTATGCAGATAAACTGCGCCAGCAGAAACAATGCCGGTCTGACCCTCGTGGGGCCGACAGTAAAGGTATACGCCACTGGACCGAACAAGAATTATGGTCTCGCCCCGGTAATTTCAGAACCAGGATTAAACCGCCTAGAAGTTCACAGATATGTGTACAATAGTGAGAATCATAATGTGTTTGAATAATTTTTGTGTGTTAGTCTCGCATATCGTTTAGCATAATTATAATGGCTATTTATATTTTAAGGTACATGAACTCGTTGAAAAGGAGAAGATTCTCACTCATGCTTCAAAAGCGCAAGTAAATAATGGAGCACTATCTTACTATTTATTTAATTTGAAATAGACTTTAACAAAATTTTAATTTAAGGCTTATAGCTGCGTTTGACATTTTACAAATTATTACAATTTATAAGCATATCTCTTCATTGACTCCTCTTTTTCATATAAAGCTTGTCTCAAGATGGAATAGCATTTTATATTTTTAAGAATCAAAGATAGCTGATTTTTTTTCTGCTTAGCTGGAAGCAAAGGGAAACTTTAGGAAACCGTATACAGATATTGAAAGCATTTCATGAAAGAGTGAATTTCGAAAAATATTGTAGAATATTTGAGTTGTGACTCGATTAAAATTATATTTCGTTTGCCAAACTTGTCGAAGGATCTCAAGTCTTATATGCAGGTCTTATATGCATCTATATAGCCATATATGCATCTATGTTGCCTTCTTGTGCGACTGTTCAAAGTTTAATGCATGCGAGGTTGGCTTGTTTGCTCCCGAGAAAATTGCTCCTGTAGAATATATACAGGTGAAATGTGATTTCATAGATGACCTAAGGGACGTTGCAACGTTGATCGTTTTGCGGAAAAGAATGGCATTAGATCAATATACAGCGAACTAGATCTCATTAGACCGCAAAGATGCTTATAATACATACAAAAAAATTAAACATTCACTTTAAGTGTATTACTCGTATCTATTTATTTGCACGTATTTAAAATTTACAAAAAAGATGATGATTTTAGATTACGTTATATAGGACATGTGTGTATCATAATATGTATATATCATAATATCTCTATCAGATAAATTAGAATATATTATGTAACAAACGACCTAAAATATTATTTTTGAAATTTGTTATGTAGGTGAAATATTATCAGTAACTTTTTATCAATTATCTCTAGAGTTTGACAAATACTGTGATAGCAGAGAATATGATAAGATGATATACAATTCATTTAGATAAAATGTAGTGGCAATTAAATAAGAATTGATTATGTAGAAACAAAATCAGTAAATATAAAATATAGCTATCAAATAATCCTTTCTCTATTATCGATTTAAATTAATAATCTTCTCTATCATCTACAGTAATTTTCCCTATTATTATAAGATAAATCTATCAAATAACCTTCTCTATTATCGATTTAAATTATATATTAAATTAAATTAATATTATTTGATACATGTACGTATTAAAATAATATTTAATATTCTGCAATAACTTTATTTTTTAATTTTCCGCAAGTTATTACGTTAAAATAGAAAGAAATGATATATAAAATAAGTAAAATTAATTTGATAATCGAGAAATATAGCATATCTATTACAATATTTTTATAGATATTATTAATTGCAAAAGATTCGCTATAGCGTATTATCTCGAATTAGCGTTCAATCTTATTGATAGTAACACATGTGTTTACTTTGCAAAGGTTCTTCTCAAGAATGCTCTTACCTTGCAAGTCACAGTCTCACCCTGCAGCCGACATTAATTAATGTAACTCGACGAGGAATACGAGCATAATTACTTTGCTCGAGTGGCCGGGGCCGAAAGTTTGCTCGTTATCGGGACTCCACGTAGCTACATGTAGATGATGCAAAGGCACATTCGATAATCTAGTCTTAACACCGGGTGGTATGACATTATCACTTTATCACCTGTATCTTATTGATAAATCTGATCGAATTATTAACGTCGCAAAGAGGAATATTAATCTTCGTTTACATTTGTAATTTTCTTCTTTTTTTTAGATTAATAGATTTAATTCTTAGATTATTATACGATCCATCAGATAAAACAGTGGCGGTTGTTCTTATTTTAAAAGATGTAAAAGAGATGTAATCATTAAAAATATAAAATTAGTAATATTCATAATTATATGTAATATATATTTGTAATATATTTGTACGATAAGAAATATTAACAAATATTTCAATGTGCCGAGTATCCAATTAATATGAACGAACAATTTACCTGCATAATCGTATGGACTATCAAGCAATTTTCAATAATATCATATATTATTAATTCTCACGTAAAATTATTATTAGACTGAATTTCCTGAAATAATATTTGAGGTTTAGCACCATTGCATATAATTTGTACGAAATTAGGACGAAGATCGAATTGGCACAAATGTCATATGTCTAAAGATATATGATTCTATTAAGATTTTATATATATATATATATATATTTTATATATATATATATATATATATATATATATATATATATATAATGTATTTGTAAATCTAACAATAGAAAAAGAAGAAATGATATATAATTATTAGATAGAATTTATAAAATTGTGTAAAAACATTATGAATAGGTTAGTCATATAAAATTTATTATTTATCTTATATAGCTATATGTGTGTGTTAGTGTACACACACACACACATACACACATATATATATACAATTTTAAGTGTTTAGTTTGTTTGTTTATCTAATAAAGATTAAAATGATATCTTTTCTTATATCAAGCTTAAATTATTATGCGTAATATTTTATTATTTACGTCTAATTGATTGAATTAAATATAAAATCTAGAAAATATAATATTATTTATATTTCTAGTTGTATGATGTATACGAAAAATATATAACAATAATTCTGCTGACAAACTATTTCTACTACATGTTTTATGCTAAAGTTTTAAGTCTATTTGTTAAAGAGCTAAATCATAAAGCTACATATGTAGCAAAGACATTGTCAACAAACTTTGTTTAGCAGCTTTGCGTTTTCGAGCTTTCTGCTGCCTCGCAACAGCATTTTTCGTGGCACATGTAGCTGTATTACTATGTAACCCGCAATGACGCGGTTTTCGCGTCAGAGGCTGAAGGGTCGTGCGTTAGGCGGTCACCTCGTGACAGTCAGGCCCATGGCGCCGAGGAAAGTTGAACCCAGGCAAACATACGGAAGGGCGAACGCACACGACAGTGTTTGGCGACGGCCGGATGTACGGGGATAGCAGACCACATCACTCGTCGGAGTGGCCGGATGTCCCGACATTGAAATACAAGCGAACTTGTGCACGTCCACCGAGGTTGCTAACCCCTACGGTTCTTTATCGCTCTTCTCCTCGACGATCCCGCAATTCTGCGGCGCGAAAGTCACATTTTCTACACTGACCGTTAAGAATCCAGTGTTGTTATTTCGAAATAAATGTAATAACTTTTTGTTAAAATTCTAATAAATTTTTAAACATTTTATATCATTTGTCTCATTTATACAGTAAATGAAATAACCGTACAATGATTTTTTAATGACAGAATTAATATAAAATCACCTAATTTTCTTTCTCTTTCTCTTTCAAAAATTATTAATTATTAAATTTGTAAAGATATTCTGATAATTATTATGTAAAAATGTATTTATATATATCATTAATAATTTTTACATAATTATTTATTATATGATTAAAAAATAATTGTATTATATTATTTATATTTAACAGTTTTAACGATTTTATCTTATTTATATCATTATAATTCAAAGACTTTTATAGTAATTCAATTTCTGAATTACATGTTATTTCTATAATCTATCTCTATAAAAAAATAATAAAAATACATGTATATATGTACAACTATACATGTATATAATACATGTATAGTTCTTTTTACAAGAATTCAAGAGAGAGAGAGAGAGTAAAAGATATTAATTTTTTAAAAAGCTTTGTCTATGAGATACAGTTATTTGTACTTTTTATAATGAATGTGTGCGTGTATGTAAAAAAACTATTATTTTTTTACTGCTTTTTTTTTAAATGCGTAAAAAAAAATATATATATATATTTTTTTTTACGCATTTCTAAATATATTTTTGTATGTACACTCTTTAAAAGTTCTCATTACTACAGAGTTGTCCTTGTATCGTTCTTTCTCACTGCACCCTGTCAGTGTTCATAGTGGTGCTGGTACTCGAGCAACGGTCTCCTTCGTCTCTCTGGGGTATTTTATCGTGTCGCCTGTAATAAGGTTTCCACGTGTAAGAAACCACCGAGGTGTTCCACGATATAGGTGGTCGAGGAGCAGTACAGAAAGAGACAAAGGGGTGAATGGGCGCGCGAAACGGGGCGAGGGCGGCAAAGTAGCGAGAAAACGAAACGGGCGATAGTGAGCGTACTACAGGCAGCTGGAGAATCCAATCGCAATAGAGTTAAGTGTTCGAGAGTAAAACCTTGCCGAGGCACGACCTCGATTACTTGTGGAGGATTTGTTACGGCCACCTTTTCTGCCACTTTCTAGCGGGCAACCTCTCCGCTTCTTCGGCAACACAAAATCGTCCCGGAGTCCTCCTTTGTCCAGGAACCTTCCTTAAAGCAAGTAACATAACACGAACGTAACACTAAAAGGACTGAAAGAAGCGCTTTGCTCCCCGCACCGTCGTTGACCTTTGGGCCACTCGGGGGCTTTTTTCCACCATCAAACATGAGAAACTTCCGATTGGCCGAGTTTAGTCGGTCACCAATTCCCGATGTCGCTCTCGAATAATGCACCGTAAAGCACAACTTTTTTTCGCTCGCTTTTTTTGTACTGTCGTTCCACGCTTTTATAAGGTATTCCTTCTCGTCCGCTTTGGAAATTGATCATTTCTCTTTTGATATTAGAAAGATCTTTAGCGCCGAAAAACTTAGAGAGATCTGTGTGTTTAATTTATATGTATATGTTCCTAAATAAATTTAAATCGTTAGCACAATAAATTTTATAACTGAGATATAAGCCATGATTAATAATTGTAAGATGATCGATGAATATGATTAAAAATCTTTGATATTTGGTTCTTAAGTAAATATCTTTATTATTAATTTTATTAACTCTTTAATAGCTAATGATAATAATGATAATGATTTTACACCTACTCAATATTGTACAGTATACATAATTTTAAAATATAATTTTAATAGAAATAAAGGAATAATATATGTAAAGAATAATTTAAAAATAAAAGGATCGATTAATTATTAATTAAAAAAAATTATTTGTGATTGGCAAAGACTTACGTATATTATATTATTTTGTGTTTTATAGAAATATATTTAAAAATATATTTAAAACTATATTTAAATTATTATATAATTTTTTTCTCCCATAAATTAACCGGTAAAATATCAAAATATAATTACTTTTTTTGTAGCATCTTGTAATTTTGTTGAAATTCCAAAATACGTTTTTACGTACGCATCCGTTATTGCGTATCGATATGGAATGTAGTATCTAAATTACCTACGGAATTCTGCCCGGCGGCAAGCCGCTTTAATGCAATACCGAACACATTTTCTTAGTTGGTTCTTCTTGTTTTACTGTGAAAATCCTCGAGGCCGTTATGTCGGTAACGATAGGACCGGCACGGCAGGCTGTTACCGCCACATGCCGCCATAATATCGAGCAAAAGTTTTCTGGCCAGCAAGAGAAAATAATTTGATATGACTTGCCGTTGCAACCCCGCGCACAGGTGGAACTTCAGAGGAAACGGGGATCTCCTTCGAAGTACAATTATGAAGCCGATGCTACCGCCGTTGCCAATTAAACGTAGTGCAGTGCAAGATATAGAAGATCACAAAGTTTCATCTTTTCTTGAGAAATTAGAGACGAATAAATCTGGCACCTATCTTTACACACAGTATAAAAAATTAACTTTTTCTTATTATAATTTGATTTATTACAATAAAATTATAAAATCTGATTGCTCATGTTAATTCTTTACAATTAAAAATAAATGTGATAATAATTTATATATTCTTGTCATAAAAATATTTGAAAATTTGAAAACAAAAATATAGAGAAATTAATATGTTATTTTTTATTTATTTAATGAAAATGTTTTGCATGATTTTTTTTCCAACAAAGATTAAAGAAAAGTATAAATTCAAATTGGTACAATTTATTATGAACATAAAAGTTTACTTATTTGCCAAAAAATTAATATGATTGATATCATATATTTTATTCGTTATTTTAATAACTTAATAATAAATTTAGATGCTGAAAAGTATTTACTATTTTATATTATTGCATTGAATTAAATTAATTTTATGTAATAATAAATGATATATAGTAAATATAAGTTATATTTCATATCGAGTGGAGAAGTTAAAGAATCGAAAAGTCGATTTCTTCTCCATGTCTTTTTCTCTTTCTTTCTTTCTTTAATGCATCTCTTTTTCTTGCTTTCTATTTTTTTTCTTTACTTATTATCATGTAATCTCTTTCTCCGCAAACGTTAAGACGCTCGTTTATCAGTTCGATTTCTCTTCATTTCTCTTTTAGAAATCTTTCTCGTTTTGCTCAATCTTACTATTCTTCTTATGACTTCTCATTACGCCAATGATAAATTTCGAGGCTTATTAAATCGTAACAATTTTAATTAAAGAAACGCCGTTAGCATCTACACTTTTCTTAGACTCTCTCCGTACTATTTTTATCTCATAGTTTTGCTTTCTTCATGCTGTAATCATCCTACGACTAACGGTATTCATTTTTGCTTTAGTACGAGAAATCGGATGCCAACTCTTTAGCTTTCTTTTAAAAGTTAGCGTCACACCTGCACTGACTTGTCTTTTCTTATTTATCGAATAGGTGCGAGCGCACAAAGTCATTCGTAACACACGGTGCATGAGTCGCCTTCTCTCATGATTGGTAAAACTTTCGGTGTGCTAAGGAAGACATAATGATGATGTTTCTTTACTAGAAAAGCTCGGAATCAATTTGTTTTGGAAAATATAATATTAATGAAAAAATTTCAAAAATGATACATTTAATATTTTATCATTACATCAATGTGATTTAAAATTATCAATTGTGAATCAATTTGTGATAGAAACAATAGAAACGATCGAAATAAAATATCGACATTTATATATTTGCAGCATTTATCATCTTCTCCAAGAGTAAACAAAATTTATAAGAAAAATATTTCAATATAAAGAAAAATATGTATTTAAAATAAAATATATTGAAAAAAATATTTTAAAACAAGATTTCAGATATGTATTTTATTACAGGTTTTTTAACATAATTTAATGGAAGAGATTATATATTTTAGTGCAATAGTGTAATTTTAGTGCAACTCTATATTTGGTGATGTAAAACTTAAAAAGGAAGATTATTTTTTCCTACGAAGAAACTGTAATTGGAAATGAAAGATGTGAGCATTGAATTAATTTGTAAGTTCATCAATTTAGAAAATCAGGAAATTTATACATAAAGTCACTTGTTACCCACAACTTATTACCCACTGTTAAAATCACTCAATTAAATCATTTAATTGGGATTCTTGTAAGATTCATTAATTTCGCAACATTTTTTATATATAATTTTTAAATAAAAAGCATCTTTATATATGTATATATATATATATATATATATATATATATATATAAATTACATATATATATATATATATATATATATATATATATATATATGTAATTTTTCTAAACAATTATTAATTGCTTATATATTTAGATTGTTTACATTAAAATTGTTAATTTTGGCAATTGAGACCTAAAAATTTTTATATATTATAAAAATCTACATTTAGCGACGATATAATTTGCTCAGAAAATAACGTGTGCTATCATTGATAAACCACTCTGTTGACGGAAAAGAAACAAAGCTAATTTTAACAAAAAAAAAAAGAAAGTTGAAGAAGAAAGTTACATCGAAGGAAACGTAAAGTTTATTGTTCTCAAGTTCATAGTTTATAGGCAGGTAAAATTTATTTTGTTTAGCAAATTTAACTTTTTATTTTTATAATAGAAAATAAGTAATATTCAATAATTATAGATGCTTATAAAGATATAAATATACATATATATAAAGCGATATAAAATTATCATTAATTGTAAAAAAACTATTTATTATTTTATTATTTATTTCAACAAATTTTATTTAGTTCAAAAGTTTATATTTACCAATAATGTTAAAACATATTACTATACATGATATAACTGCAAATTGGGAATGTTTAAAAAAATATATACACATATATATATATATATATATATATATATATATATATATATACACTTATATATTGATTTTAATAATTAAGATCTTTAAAGGAATTAATTAAATATTCTGGCAATTAATTTCATCTAAAATTCCAATTTTTAAAAAAATATTTTTTTATTAAATTTTAGCGTATAAATTATCGATAATCTTCCGCATATCCGGTATTTATTTTTATCCGAATAATTTCAACTTAGTAATACAATCAGCAAACACTTTAGAAATCTGCAGCTTCTTTTAAGATTTTTTCAAAAGTAATAATATAAAAATTATTGAATATTCTTATTATTTTATTGCTGTTTTTCTACAATTAAAATGTAGGTATTGTTTATTTTAGCTCAAGTTCCTCCATACCGATAATTATAAATCTTATAAAATATCTGAACATAATAGACATAAAGAGTTAATCCAGTCTTCTACAGATTTTGAACGCTTGTTTCTTAAGAGATTTAGTAACACATAACTAATGATGGAGAAGTTGGTTGTAAACAAGTATATAAGAGGGTTTTATTCTTTTTTATTCTCATTTATATAAATAAACATTTTTATAAATGAATATTTTATTATATTCTTCTACTGATATAAGTTCTAAAAGATCATAAAAATGATCATATGCGCAGGATATGTATAATATGCTTTAATTTGATGGTACATTGAGACCAAAAACGATATACATGATATCTTCAGAAATTTCTGTATTTACTCCTTTGCTCTTGAGGCCATTGTTCATAATCTTAAAGGATTTAATTTCGTAAACTTTGTTGACAATCTGCTGATAGTTATTAGACTTAATTTCATTGATATATCTGACAAAAGCTAGAGAAGTTTTTAATTTCTGCGCGTAGAGGTGAATAATCTTGTCAAGAGGAAGCGTTGCGAAGAGGTCTTTGTAATATCCGGCGATTCCACCGGTTCTCTTTTGGATCGTAGAATTCGTATAAGACATGCGTGGTGGTACGAGCTCTTTGATATCAAGAATTTTGTTTATTTCGTTTATTGCGGAGTAAATATCAATTCCTTCTTTTTGCAGGTAATTAAAATACTCGATCACTTGGGGAATAGCTTCGTATTCTGTGTAGAAGTCTTTCAGTAGACCTGAGGTGAAGACATATTCAATAGCAGCTTTCAATTCAGGATCATTGTTCCAGTAGTCTTCCACAATATTAGAAATTTTTTCAAGAGGTAATAAATCTAGAAAATCCTGGAAATCTTCATGAAGAGGACCTTTACCGAAATTCGCAAATTGATGAGCTTGGCCCAGGCCGATAATAACCAAGATGGCAGATAACGTTAACGTGAATTTCATCTATAAATATATAACATACCTATGTCATAAATTAATACTTATGATTAATTAATACTTAATTAATATTAATAATTTTTTATTATAATACTTTATTTTGATGGATATATCATATTTTATTTATGTACGTGTATAAACATGCAATAAGTCCACTAAAATAATATTTTAAAAATAATCTTTTTGAAAATTGCATGATTACATTTGATGTAAGAAAAATAACAAAAAAATAATTACTATAATATTATTAATTATATGTATATATATATATATGTATACACACACACACACACACACACACACACACACACACACACAAAGTACTTTGTCATAATTATATACAGCTATATAAAAGTTGCATGTAATGTATATATAATATATTTTTAAAAAAGAAGTATAATTTTTTTTATTTTATGTCTTTCATGTCATCAAAGTTAAAAAATATTACTATGTATTATTAAAATGTATAAAAGATTATTTTTTATAATATTTGCTTAAACTGCTCGTGAAAATATATCCCATAAAAGAAAGAAAAGAGAGGAAGAAAGAAAGAATTATTTTTATTTATCTACTGCCAAAGAATCAAATGTTACAGAACTAAAAAGAATATTATTTATTTTATTATTAACTATAATTTTTGAGTTATATTCTCCCAAATACACAGATTATTACTGTAGAAATTATAATTAATATAGAAATATATACAAAAAATCTTTATAATAATTAAATTAATTTTAAATAAAATTTTATTGAATTTTAATTTTCGAAATAATTGTAAATTTGTATAAAATTTAGTTGTAAAGTTATTAAAAAATTATACTATAATCAAATTTATGTCAAAAAGTAAGATTAACTATATATTAGTCATATAATTTATAATGAAAATAAAAAACTATAATTATTAAATAATTCTAGTTAAAATAATTCTAGCAATAGAAATTGAATAAGTATAATTCTCGAAAAATATTTATAAAGATTATTTATTTACCGTAACAGTTGTGGATACACTGATCTTCGTGTTTAGGATCTTTCGTGTAAGTCTCGTATATACTGAAGACATCGCTGTGCACTTCTTAATATATTGCTTCAAAAACAAGAACTGGATAAGATTATTTCCGATTTCTAAAAATGTAAACGTTACTTGATAAATCATTAAATATGACAAATTCCATGAAATGTTATATTGTTTATCTTTTCCGTATCAGTATTTCTTATCTACAATCCATTTTTCATTTGAAACAATATATTTCATGAAATACTGTTTGTAAAAAAATGTTTGCTATTTTTACACAGTTTAATTAATATAATTTTATACATAAAATGTTGTATCCTTGTTGTTAAAATTTTCTTGCCGATTGCTCGATGTCAACGGATTAATCGAGAATATCCGACAAGAATATTGTATGTTTTATACACACACACACACACACACACACACACACACACACACACACACACACACACATATATATATATATTATCTTTTAATAATATAAAGAATTGTTATATTGTAAGCAAATCAGACTATATTTTTAATTACTTATCAAAGTAATACTTGCAATAAAATTTATATTTTGGATTATATTTAGATTTATATTTTATTATTTTTAATAATTGTAGTTTATAAACAAATATATTTCTAGAAATAACTTGTTTTGTAGTATGTTATGTGTTCTTAGATAATTTGTTGTGAGAGATATAATAACGACATATAATAACGAGAAATAAAGAAGTCGATATTACCGATAAATTGTGTTAAGTACATGTTCCAGGATATGACACGAAATCACACACAACGATATAATCAATATCAAATTATCGATATGTTTTAATTCCATAAAATTCACGATATGAAGTTCAATATAAGAAAGAGAAATAAGAATATTATTCTACGAAAAATATGCGTAATCTGATTTTAAGATATCGAGTAAGATAAATATCATTAATAACAAGATATCAACCAAATCAAAATGATAAACCATTTATTAAAAATGATTATATTGTAGAAAAGTTAAGATATTAACAATATCAAAGTTTCGATCATAACTTACGCCAAAAAATAAATGATTAGTCATTATAATATCAAAATAAGAATTGTAAGACAAAATGTGTAAAATATATTGTAATTAAACTAATTTTTAAACTAACATTTAAACAGGTTATTTTATTAAAATATTTAACTTAAGAGTATATATAGCTGTTAAATGAGCAAGTTTATATATAAATTCTTAATTTATCGCATAATATAAATAATAAAATGCATCTACATTTCTTAATAATTTTTTTCATTATTTGATACATTACGTATACAGAAAAAAATAATCTAAACTTTCATGTTTTTTGTCAAAAACTATATCAAATAATTCTAGTTTTTTTTATGTATCAGTATCCCAATCTGGTCACAATCTTATCTAGTCTTTTATATAACTTGATATTAGCAGTATATAAATATAGAATAATTATTCAGAGAGGGAGACTTCAAAGCGCATTCACAGCTGTCATAAGGTAAGTAAGAAGTCTTTTTTATACACTTTCTTGAAAATTTTCCTTAAAAAAAGTGTTTTTACGAAACTATCGTTCCTATTTCAGTTATTTTATAAATAATTTCAGAATCAAATTTTTTCCTTTTTAATAAAAGTTTAAAAGTTTAATGAAATGTCAATTTTTTCCTAACTTATTAATAATGAATTATATTTGTAAAAAATTTTTCTGTTTAATCTTCTATATCTAATTAATCTATATTTATAATTGATTTTTTAAAATTAATTTTTTTCTACGTACGAAGTAAAATCTACTAAGAACTAATCAATCAATTAATCACTAATATACGTAAGAAAAATTTTATATACTCACATATATTATATAATACATACATATATATATATATAAATGTAATACATATGTGTGTATGTGTGTGTGTGTGTGTGTATTACATTATATACATATATATATATATATTTTTTTTTTTTTTGCATAAATCAGATTAATTGATTAATTAATTCTTAATAGATTTTACTTGAGAAAAAAAAAGAACCCATTAATATATTATACATACTTCTATTCTAAAGCTCCTACTTTAATTTAGAAGTTGTTATATTTTTGTTTACGTAAAAATATCAATGATATAAGAAACACATATAAGAACCAATTTAACTTTAACCAACTTAATAATTATTATCTCTTTTTCTCTTATATGTCTCTTATAATTTATCAATGTGCTTGTAAATTTTATAAATTTTACATATATATATTATATTTGCATACATTAAAATATGTTGTAATATATTTCTAAGTATTTACACAATATACATTTATCAAATACGCGATTATGATATATTTGCAGATGAAAATCACATTAGCGTTATTTGCTATCTTGGCCTTTATCGGCCTGGGCCAATCTCATCAGTTCCCAGATTTCGGGTATGGTCCTCTTCATGAAGATTTCCAGGATTTTCTAGATTTAGTCCCTGTGAAAAAAATTGTTCAAGTGGCTGCGTATTACGCGAAGCATGATTCTGAAGTACAAGCTGCTATTAATTTCCTTACAACCACACCTACACTCAAAAATCTAGTTATAGATTTCGAGTCTATTCCCGAAGTGACTGAATTTATTAATGGTCTATACGGGCAAAACATCGATATCTACAATATATTAAATCAGATTAATAGAGCTCTCGAGATCAACGAACTAATACCACCTTGGGTTCCATCTCCTATACCTGGTGAACCTACACCTACACCTAATGAACCTACATCTACATCTAGTAAACCTACACCTACACCTACACCTAATGAACCTACACCTACATCTAATGAACCTACACCTACACCTAGTAAACCTACACCTACACCTAGTGAACCTACAGATACACCTAGTAAACCTACAGCTACACCTAGTGAATCTACAGCTACATCTATTGAACCTACATTTACACCTAGTAAACCTACAGCTACACCTAGTGAATCTACACCTACATCTAGTAAACCTACAGCTACACCTAGTGAATCTACAGCTACACCTAGTAAACCTACAGCTACACCTAGTGAATCTACACCTACATCTAGTAAACCTACACCTACACCTACACCTACGGAAACTTCTTCACCTACATCTACACCAACAACTTCACCCGTACCTACATCTCCATCGACGGCTAGACCCACATCTTCACCCGCACCTACATCTGGATCGACGGCTGGACCCACATCTTCACTTGTACCTACGCCTACATCTGAATATAAACATTTCTTCTATAAACATAATGGAATCAAGCAAAAAACCGGTGGACTCGCAGGATTGTTTAGAGATGTTAAGAGGCTCTTCAATTATGATGCTTTTATTAGCGTATATGTGGACAAGTTGAAAAACTCTACACCTTTCGTTGACCTTGTTAACGAAATCAAGTCTGAGAACTTCCAAGTACTCGTTAACAAGATTTTTGAAAGTCAATCCGTGCAAATTATTCAAAATGGCCTCAAGGACAAGGTGAATCTGAAAATTGTAGGAGATATCTTCTATCTTTTATTCGGCATTACTTTCCCGGACCATGTTAAATCATTAGAGGAACATTTTGTTGATTTTTTCTACCTCCTTCCAGCGCAAGAAATGGTTGACATAGTGGTCAAGTATTTAAACGAAGATAAAGAAGTACAGAACGCTGTCCAATTCGTGACAACATCCGAATTTCATGATCTGCTACGTGCTACCGAAGCTCTTAAGGAGCATCAGGAATTTGTGCTATATCTTCAAAACCATGGACTCAATATTATTGAACAAATCAAGGAATTGCACAAAGCCATCGGTATGGAAGATTATGTACCCCCTAAAATAGAAAACTTCCTTAAAGCTCAAATTAAAACACAAGAAGTCGGCGGTGGAGTGAAAGCATTGCTCGACGATCTTTATTCTTTGCTACCTTTCGAAAAGATCGATGCTCTTTATGAAGAAAAAATATCAAAATCCAAAATCTTTAAAGATTTTTATGACGCCATTACATCCGAAGAGTTCGTAAACCTTGCCAATAATCTAGCTGCTCAAGAGCCTGTTAAACAACTTGTTGCAAAAAGCAATGAAAAAGGATTAGATTTAGCGGGATTCCAGCGATTTGGTAGCAGAATTATTGGCTTTAAATAAAAAATTATGTAACATTTTGAATATCAAATATATTTATCATTCGCAATTTATGCAATTATACACTCTAATGTAATAAGATAAGTAATGTAATAAGATAGAAACTCTTAGATTCAATTATATATTGCCTGTGTGTAATAAAAAATAAATTTATTTTGCGCCTTGTTAAAGTGCTTATTTTATTTATTTATCCTTATTTTCTATTATAATTATAAGTAATAATAAAAATAAATAGTAATAAGTAATAATAAAAAAAGAAGCAAATATTTAATTAATTCTTGTCTATCAATTTTGCTTATAATTAATATTTATATAATGCATGTACATATATATATATATATATATATATATATATATATATATATACGTTCAAAGCAATGTTCAGTTAATATATTCAGTATTATAAACAAATGTATACGAAAATAATGCTCAAATTATAAAAAATAAACGAATATTTAACAATTTTAATTTTTGATTTAATTGTCATGCATATTTCAGTGTAATTAAAATATATATAAAAATTATATAACATAGAATAATTAAAATACATATGATAATTATATAACTTAACAATTAGAGATATATACACATTGGAGATTATAATAAACAATTGAAATATATTTATAGAAAGCAAAGTCTGTGAGAAAGAAGAATTATCAAGATTTCTTTGAATTTTTTTATAATTATCTTCCATAAAGGTTTTATCAGTAAAATCAATAAATGAATGAGACATATCGTAAATCTAATTCTTTGTTGATATAAATTTTTACATGAAATTTTAATGAAAGGATCATAATAATAAATATGATAATCGCTATAATTATTGTTTTTGGTAAAATAACTTATTGTCTTAATTCTCTAATTAGAAAAAGATTTGAAGTATATTCTAGAATTTATTCTGATCAAGTTGCGCGATGAATCATTAATAATTATCTGAAATAAAATCAAATAAATACAATGAAATAAATCAATGATAAAATGAGCTTATCGATAACCAGAAAAAGTTTATCACGAAGAAAATTTCAGCGAACACTTCAACTAATCTTGATACGTTTCGATTGTGCAAAAAAAGCATCTATAGATGATAATTAGAAATAGAGAAAAATATAAGATATTTATAAAATTATTTTTTATAATATTACTATTACATATAGACATTTACAAATATCGCTCCAAATATTAAAATTATACGATAATCTAAAAGATTTTAAATGTTATCTAAAAAATTTTAAGTGCCAGAGAAGAACGCACTTGATAAATTATTAATCATTTCTGCATAAGAAATATTTCGATAGCACTTGATAAATTATTAATAAATTCTGTATAAAAAATATTTTGATTGAGCTGATATTTTTATTGAGCTTTTCTATAAATATTGTAGAGAAATATTTAAACGTTTCAATTTTTGCAAAATTATTAAAAGAAACTAAAGACTATGTAATGATATCTTCTGAATGAGACAAGAAGATATCAAAATCGCATCGAAGATATTGAATTATTTGTTTTTTGACAAATTTTTCAAACGTTTCCCCCCAATATTTATATAATGGAAATAAGAGAGAGTCTAATAATTTATAATAATTATGAAAATTATGTGCTAAAGTGTAGTATTTTTGAGAATTATGTATTATTATTGTCTTAAACAAAAATATATGTTTTTTTAACATGATATTCTTGATAAAAGAATGGAATAAATCGATAAAATAATCGATTTTGTCTAACATTTTACATTAATTTTATATTTATTAAAATACGTGATTTAGCAAAACAAATTATAAAATTGAAAGTACAAAAATTCCCATATATGTAAAATTCATTACTTTCCTCTTTCGAACATTCAGAATTCACTTAAACGATTCGATTTGCCTAATACGAACGAATAATTCATCGCCAGGTTTCAACGAAAAAGTGCGATATTTATTCTGAAGAAGTTGAGAATCATAAATTTAATATAATTTTAATATAATTGTGTAAATTATATTCTAATAAAAAAATAATCCAATATTGAAATAAGCATAAGAATGAAATAAGAATGTCTCTTTAAATAATTCTCTGATTAAAAAATCTTATAAGTATAATATTTTACAAGTCATGCAAATTGTATATGATAATATTTTTAATTGTTGTGCTTATTAGCAAAATTGTATAATACAGTTAGTTACCTATATAATTAATGTATTTGTATATGCTTATTTTAACAACTCAACTCTACATAGAAATAATATTAAACTTCGTGCTCAATATTGCAATTAATTAAACAGATGTATATGTATCGTGAAGACGATAAATATGTTATTCATTCTTTTAATAGTAAGATTATTTGGGCAATTCAAAAGAACACGAGCAAGCATTCTAACGCAAAGCATCGGATGGATGGTAGAAATTAATAGCTCTTAGGATGTCAGGAACTGCATGAACGCGACCAGACTGCCAGGCTAGTGTGAGTTTCATGTTGAAGTCACGATAACGGTAGCCAGGGGAAGACCAACGACAAAGAGAAGGCGCTGCTCGAGGTATAGGATTCAGAAGGGCGCGAGGGCAAACGGCTCGCGGTGTCTGCAGCAAACAATTCCAATTAACTTGCTGGAATTGGAATAGGACTCGTATTCGCATTTGCCCAGCCGACTCCCGGCTCATGGATGCCACGTCGAGGACATGAGCATTCCTTCGTCCATCCGTCGTGCTTCCTCATTTTTCCTCGTCAAATTTTGCCGTTACGCTATTTGCGTCCGTAAATTGCGTCCGCGTCCGGCGAAAACTGAAAAACTGTGATGCACGACATGAAAATCGATTGAAAAATTGTGCTATTTTCTTTTACGCACTGTTTAATTTATTAAAATTAAACTTTTAAGTGCTGTTTACGCAACGATCATATTTAATTAAAGTTTACAAAGACGTTTAAGGAAGTCTTATACACTTTGAAGAAATTTTTTAGACATTATAAAAGTTTTAATAATCTTTGAGAATTGAATGTTTTGCTCGATTTTAATTAATGGATATTAATGTCAGTTTTTATTCGCTGGATTTATAGATGGAATAAATGAAGTAGATAAATACTTGATCTATAATGTAAACTTTATGTTTATAATCTTGATTTATTAAACTATAATTTTAATTACTACTGTTCTCTATATAGGGAAAAAGTATTACTATACGTTATGTATTTTAATATAATTTTTTTTTAAATTATTACAAATATTGAATGTATTTATCTCCATATGTGATTAATATGTAATATTAATAAATACAAAGAGTATGTAATATTAATAGAAAGAAAGAAAAAGAGAAAATAGAAGATAGATTATAATATTGTATATTTAATATTAAAAATATATGATAAATTATATTATTTAATATATTATTTATAATTATTGTATATAATTATTTTTTAAGAATTATGGTGTTTTATTGATTAGAAACGGCTAAATTTAAGTATTTAAAACTTAATATTTTATATATATTTGCATATATTTTATCAGGCATTTTATCATATTTAACGCTCGTGTTTCATATGCAGAATATCTTAAAATTATTGTTCTTTTAATAGTAGATTTAGTAAAGTCATATTGTGGATATGATTTCTTTTTTCAACAAAATTGTCAAGTAGTATTGAAATAAGATAATTTATTTTTTTATTTTTCAATAGTTATGATCCGTAAATATTTAGGATAAATAAATATAAGAAATAAAAAGTATTGTTTGCATTCTTTAAAATTAAATTTCAAGAAAAAAGAAAAATACATTAGATATAACATATATATCTAAGATCTATATATATATATTTAAGCATATATACATAATTATATCAGTTAATATTATATATATATTTTTTCAGATTATATTACATAAAAAAAGGAATTAAATGACGCGTGCTTTGTAATGTTCCAGTTATATCTAAAAAGCAAACTTTTGAGATCGAGTTCCGAGCGAATGATAGTCTATGTTATTACATGGTTTTCTGTACATGCGTATCAAACGGATGACAGTGGGACGATTATCCGTTGTATAATGCTCGTCATCACTGTCATCGGTTGAGACAGCCATAAAGCACAACGAGCAACGCCGCGTCGTTGCCCTTAGACAATGCCGTGCTTCTGAGCTGCTCAGATATTGAAGATGCCCGAAAGCTGTGTGTACTGATCTTGATATGTACACAACGTCTAGCCCGCTTCTCAACATTATTAAATCCTACCTTGCCCATGGACCAACCGTGCGGGACAATAACGTTCTTTAAGCGTCCGTTACGTCACGATAACGTGTCGCGAATTGATAATCGGTCCGTTGGATAAAATTGCATATACTCTGTTTTGCATATACTCTGTCCCATGAGAATCTTATTGTTAGATTAACTCTTATAGATTTATTTTTTTCGCACGAGAATAAGCTAGATATGTTTTGGATTCTGCCTTTATTTTATAATAAATATATTTTTTATTTGCCTTCTTTATTTTTATGGATTTTTAATTCCTTTAAATTCCTTGCTGTATATTTTTATAGCAAGAAAACTGATAACATATAGATAATAAATAAATTATGGAAGCGTAATTTAAAAGAGAATTACATCTATCATATATGACTAATTACAAGATAATGATCTATTCGTAAATATATTTTTAGAAGGATATATATCAAAAGTCTATAAACTTTTATTTATCTATTTACTCTTTTTTATTATTTTATTGCTTTATCATTGCTTATCGCATCAGTATAAGTAATTATCTTTCCTCCTTCAGGTCCGTACCTGATCCCTGATTCTCGTTCTACGAGAGAACATTACGTACCGTATGACCGCGGCAAATCGACGAGTTTATAGGCCAACGACGTTTACGGTGGCGTAATTGCCCATCCGATGATCGCGCGGGCGTCATATAATCACCAGCTCGTAAGCCTCGAACAGCTTAATCCATGAGGAGTCGCGTCATTACCCGCGTCGTCAGCGCGGCGTCGCCGACGATAGTCGTCATTGTCGTTGCCGTCGCCGCCGTCGTCGTCGTCGACGTTGCTGAAATTCCAGTCAAGAGAGAAGACATTTAAAAGTAAGTATAGCCGAGCGGATCTTTGCCTAGTGGGCTTAAAAGTCAAGTGCCAAGAGCGCAATTTATCTCATCCATTTGCCAGATGAGAAGGCAGGGGAAACGGGGTGAGGTGAACCGCCGAGTA